GTGGTGGAGCTGGAGGGGAGTGTGGAGCGGACAAGGGAGTCACGGAGAGAGTTGTCCCTCCGGAAAGCAGATAAGGGTGGGGAGGGAAAGATGTCTTTGGTGGTGGGGTCGGATTGCAGATGGCGGAAGTGTCGGAGGATGATGCGTTGGATCCGGAAGTTGGTGGGGTGGTATGTGAGGACGAGGGGGATTCTTTTTTTGGTTTTTATTGCGTGGACGGGGTGTGAGGGATGAGGTGCGGGAGATGTGGGAGACACGGTTGAGGGCGTTCTCGACCACCGAGGAGGGGAAGTTACGGTCCTTGAAAAACGAGGACAACTGAGATGTACGGGAGTGGAATGCCTCATCCTGGGAGCAGATGCGGCGGAGGCGAAGGAATTGGGAATTAGAGAGAATATTAGCATGACATTTCCTCTTGTGGTAGAGACTGGAACTAGAGGGTACATTTTAGGTACAGCAAAATTTGTTCTAACCGGCATCTTATGAACCAGCACACTCAATAAATCGGCAAAAATGATTTACCTCAAATACTGGAAGTTTACTGTGTTGTCACCATCTCCGTGATGTCCGAGTAGTCAGTTGAGGGTGTGAGTGAGAAGGCTGTGTGAGATTGCGTTCAAAGAACCAGATGAGCAGGATCAGTGAGTGGTGAAAATAGCCTCTTTATTGTACATTCACAGCAGCACGATGTAAGACGAAATAGAATCCCAAAATCATAGCTCAAAAGCAGCCATTTTATTCAGAATTCAAGCATGCATTAACATTCTGACACTTGAGTGTTAAGCAGTAGATATTGTACAAAAACTGTTTTGCAGGAAATCGGAGATGGTTTAAACGTGCTAAATATTACCGGTTATTGTTGAGTGTTAACGGTTATTTTAATGAGATTAGAGTGTCTGTCTGGTTTGACTGTGCATAATTCAAAAGGTGTAGTTTTGTCTTGTTTTAGTCTTTATTCTTGTTATTTTAGTCTTTGTTATTTTCAAGATTAGAATTTAAAGATAGAAAAAGGCATCTTGTGTTTTTTAAATAAAAGTCTGAGTTCCCAAAAGTTTTGATTGTCTGTGGTTTTTATTTACTATCGCTTGTTTAGTTAGTTTCATGGTTGAGTCCATCTGTGGGTTCTATTTACTATCATTCATTCATTCGGTTTCGTGGTCACACCTGTTGTCGTAGTACTGTCAGTTTCATTCATTCAGTCATTCATTCAAGGTCACGCGGGTCTGGACATAGCGCCGTTAGTTTTATTAGTAGGTTAAAGGTTGCTTACATACACTGCATAGCGTTTGTTAGTTTTATTAGTGGGGTAAAGTTTTATATACATGTTGAATAAAAACTTGGGACAAGTACCTGGTTACATAATATACAGGAAAAGTCTGTAGGGAAGTAACTTTAAAAGGAAGAGGGCTATCCAGTTTTCACCTTTGACTGATACTTAGAGCTACTCTAGCTGGAGGGAGAAGATAAACGACTTGGTAATAGCAGCTATTCAGTTGGATTTTAATATCAAATAACACTGTTTTTGGTGTGGGGGTGCAAAAAGGTTCCATCCTGTAGTGTCTGTGCAGTTTTGTTCACCGTCACGTCTGGCTGCACCTTTGAATGGAATGTCGGCCTGGTGTAAATGGGGTTGTTTACATAGCGCGTTATGGATGTGTGCACTTTCAAGTGGGGTGTAACCACAAGTTGAAGTGGTTGTAACCTGACACGGTAGCGAGCCTCTGAATTAGTTTGAATGGGGGCTAGATAGTACATGGAAATCTGCAGTTAGTATTATAACCACGAATTAATGGGTTAATGGATTAATAGACATGATTTATGGAGTTATATTAAAAGTTGTTAACACCTTTGAACTCTGATATACCAGCTGTCTGCTGTTAAGTTTTACTTAAGGAAAAGTTGCATTATTATTTAGGTGAATTGTGCTGCAAATAAAGTCTAATAGTAATATATACACTCCCTGCATTACGTTTGTATTACTTGGTGTGTATTTTTACATTATGGATCTCTTGATCAACTGGAATATTTGATCAGCAGGCACACTCCAGGTTCCATAGATGCCAGTTAATAAAACATTTGCTGTATTAAAAATCTCCTTTTTAAAATTGAGCTGAGAATTCTTTTCACCGAAGGTTATTAGAGTGTGGAATTCCATTCTCAATAAAGCACTGGAGGCTGGGTAATTGATTTTATTCAAGGCAGAGGTCAGCAGACGTTTGGTAGACAAGGGAATCAAGGGTTATGTGGGACAGACACGATAGAGGAGTTGAGACAATAGTCAGATCTTTCATAAAACAAAACTGCAAATGCTGAAAATGCTAATGAAACAAAAGCAGAAATTGCTGGAGAAACTCAGAACTTGCAGGATCTGTGGAGAAAAGGAGTTAATGTTTCAACTCTGAAGAAGGGTCACTGGACTTGAAACATCATCTCTTTCTCTTTGCAGATACTGCCAGATCTGCTGAGTTTCACCAGCAATTTCTGTTTAATCTGTCATGACCTTATTGAATGATGAAGCAGGATTGAAGAGCGAAGTGTCCTAACCCTGCTGCTAAGTCCTACATTCCCACACTTACGCCACACAAGATGAAGAATGATCATTCAGATAGCATACTAGGACTGTGCTGATTTGCGGAAAACCGTATCATAGCCCAAGGTGGTTTTTCTGGAGTGCAGGAGTACAAGAATATTGTGTGACTGAAGGTAATTGGTTTGAGTGTGAGACTATTAGGCCTTTTAATTGGTTAGGAAGACAGACAGTTCAGTTATCATCCTTGATGCAGTCCCTCACTTTTTGACAGAACTGGCATGTTTCTTTGGAAAACTAACTGTGGAATCTGGTAAATTTCAGGAAGTGTGGACTTTGGCTCAGAAGTAACTTCGTCGAATAGAAGTGTGAAAGTGTTGCTGAACTCTCAGGATAAGGTGAGTGTAAAAGAAAGAGGAATCTTTCAATAATGAAAAAAATTCCCCAATCAAACTAACACAATCTCTACAGTTTCATTTACCATTTGTCTACTATCTGAGCTGCTTTACTTCATATTAAACCAGAAGTTTTATTGTTTTGTAATATTGCAAAAAAACTGTAATCTTCTCATTTCCCAGATTCTTCCTTCACCATTTACAAATGTGCAAGCTGCACCTTGCATATTTGTAATGATTTCCTACTGTTAGTTTGTTCTGATTGAATGTTATTAGTGCTGATGTTTAGCAATGGCTAATGTTAGTGCTGTTGCCTCATGGGGACAAATCCTAAATCACTCCTCCAGTTTGTATCAGCAACTTGTAGCCCATGAGATGATGTAGAGGAGTTGATGGACTAGTGGGATTGTCACTAGACTATTAATCCGGAGATCCAGGTCGTGTTCTGAGGACCTGGGTTCGAATCCTGCAGATGGTGGAGATTTGATTTGATTTTAAAATAAGTCTAGAATTAAGAGTCTAATGATGAAATCACCATTGATTGTTAGGAAAAACCCCTATGGGCAATTAGGGATGGGCAATAAATTCTGTCCCTTGAATGAATAAAAGAAGTGCACACCTGAGCAGTTGCACAGGCTGTTCACAATGGAGGATTTGAGATATAAAAATAGACTGGAGCGTAAGAGGTTGAGTGATGGACTTATGGAGGTTTATAAAATCATGAGAGGCATAGATAAGGTGAATAGCAAGGGTCTTTTCCCTAAGGTGGGTAACTTCAAAACTAGCTTGCATATTTTTATGGTGAGAGGAGAAAGTTTTGTTTCACACACGGAGTGATTTGTGTGTGGAATGAACTGCTAGAGGAATTGATGGATGCAGGTACAGTTACAGCATTTAATAGACATTTGGATAAGTACGTGAATAGGAAAGGTTCGGAGAGAGATAGGCTAAACACAGGCAGGTGGGATTAGTTTAATTTGGGGACATGGTCTGTGTGGACTAGTTGGACTGAAGGATCTGTTTCCATGCTGTAAGACTCTAGTCTCTGTGAAGGTATTGCTGCAGCTAGTAGTTTGAAGCAAAAATGGAAAATGTTCGAAATACTTCTTGACATATGCTAGCGGCATCCATGGGAGAGAAACAAGTCCGTCAACTAATGAACTAAGTAATTAAACCAGCCAACGGAACTAATGGTATGAAAGTAGAATGAGCACCACTGAACGTTGAACCCACAAGCAAATCCCCAGGCAATAATTTTCACATTCTGAACTGATGCTGAGCATGTCCATGCTAATTTTAAGACGTTTGATTGATATAATTTGTATTAATTATAGGACTGGTTTGGAAGAGGGCAGTCGACTGTTGGAACAAGTTGCCAACTGTTTTTTGAGAAGTGAGCTGAACACATTCTCTGTGGCTGTCATCGCTGTGTGTAAAGGGGAGGTGGGGTATTCGGGTGATGCTCTTCCCCAGCCACACTCTTCTCAGAGAGGAAATATCCCAGTGTCTGTGCGTTTATCTCTTCCAGAAGATTGCATGGGGCTGAGGGATTGTGAGGAATAAGTTCAGATGGGTCAGTGCTTCAGGTGTGATGATGTTTTGCTGTCAGTTGTTTTTGCAGGTTTGTATTGACACAAGCAATACAGTGACACTTAAAGTAGCAATCCCTAGATAAGTTGAAATATCCAAAGAGTGATTGAATTGAATCTTTAATTGTATAGGTCTATGGATTGTTCATACTTCTGATGCTAAAAGCCTTTCTTTTTTGATGTTATCCTTCTATTATTTTTTCATTAATTTTCTCTCTTCAGACACTCACTAAAAAAACTCGTGCACTCATTTATAGTTTCTGCTTCAGTAGCCTCTTTGACAAATTATTCAATAACTCTATTACCTCTTGGTTACCCTAAGATTGGGGTTCAGTAACCAAGTGAGCTGAGTGGTCTTTCCCTATTTGTGTGTTTTTAACTCTTAGAGGTAAATTGTTTGTCCTTTGTTTATATGTTGCTACTTTTACAGGTTTTCAAAGAGATTCGAAATGAGCATTTCTCCAATGTATTCGGTTTCTTAAGTCAAAAAGCAAGAAGGCTTCAGACACAGTATGATGTGAGTATCAATGAAAGATAGCTCTTCACTGAAAGTAGTACTATTCTATGCAGGGCACCTCTCACCTTTTGAGCAATCTTGTAGAGATTACAATTAGTGGTGTCCCTGCTAAATTGTATTAACTAAACACGTGAGTTAGCACCTCCATGAAGAGTACATTGTGTTTACATGGGTGCATTGCCTTTCATCAGATCCAATGATCTAGATGCCAAGCTGATTGGCTGAATCAGTGTAGCACTATCCCGTCAGTGATGCAGACTTACAGTCCGGTGATTCTTATGAACATACATTCAAGAAACAAGAGTAGGCCATTCATCCCTTCAAGTCTGCTTTACCATTCAATAGGACTGTGGCTGATCTGATTTTAACCTCAACCCTACATTCCTGCATATCCCTAATAACCTTTCGTCCCCTTGGTCATCAAGAATCTATCTACCTCTGCTTTAAAAATATGTAAAGATTCTGCATCTGTTGCCTTCTCAGGAAGGGAATTCCAAGACACTCAACCCTCTGAAAGATAAAGCAAATGTTTCCTCATCTGTCTTAAACGAGCGAACCCTTATTTTTAAGCTATGACCTCTCGGTTCTAGATTCTTGCACAAGAGGCAGTATCCTTTTGACATCCACCTGGTCAAGTCCCCTCAGGATCTTACATGTATCAGTTCAGTCATCTCTGACTCTTTAAAAACTCCAGATGATACAGGTCCAGCCTGCATATCCTTTCCTCATAAGGCAATCTGCTCATTCCAGGTATTAGTCCTATAAAATCTCTCTGAACCACTTCCAACGCATTAATGTCCTTCCATAAGTACATTGACCAGTGTACTCAGACGTGGTCTCACCAATGCCCTGTATAATCTCTCTATTCTTGAAATCAATTCCTCCACAATAAAACATAGCATTCTGTTAGCTTTCCTGATTACTTGCTATACCTGCAAACTAACCTTCTGTGACTCATGCACTTGCTAAGAGTCTGTTATTTGAGGATAAAATTGGCCTCAGCAATAGTACCACTCAAGGTTCCAAACTCACTGACACCTGGTGTTCAGGTTCACTCTTAAGAAGGGTCGATTTGTCTGCAGATCAGGAAGGCAGCTCCCCACTACCATCTTAAAGGCAATTACAGATAGGCAATAAAAGCTTCCCGACATCCAAATGCCGACATCCTGTGAACAATAAAGAGGTACCCAAGGGTTGTTACTACAAAACTGCACCCCACAACAACTTTCATTTATCTGATGCCTCAACATATTTATTTCCCCCTGCCCCAGATATATCAGAGTGTTATAAAATATGATTTGACACTGAGATATTAGAGTGGGAATAGGGTGCACAGTGGCAAGTTTCAAGGAGCATCTTAAAGGATGAGAAACAGTTAAAGAAGCAGAAAATTCAGACAGGAAACTCTGCATCCACTGTCGATGAATGAGCACGGGAGTTGATCAGTGAATGGATCTTGGTGTGAGTTACCGCAGCAAGATTCAACATTTTCAGGAGCGGAGCAGAAAAAATTGGCACGAATAAGTGGCTATTTTCATTGTAAGTATTACAGATCAGTCTGTGAGTGACTCATTTCACAATTGCATGCAGAAACGCCAAGGGATGGACATCAAACAGATGAAGGATTTTGTATCTCAGGAATTAAAGAGCTTAAAGCAGGAACATCGACTACTGAGTCTTCGTAAGTACCTGAGAGACTTGCCTGGAATTACATGCAAAGCACATTGCCGCAGGTGATTAACTGTTGGTGGCATTAACACATCGGAGTCAGAACATTGTGGGCTACTGGAGTACTAAATTTGGATTGAAGCTCCATTAATTTTCTGAGGAAATGCTGCATCATCAGAGAAGAGGTATTAAACTGAAGTCCCAACTGCTCTATTGGGACCATAGGGAGTTCCAGCAGCTTCTCAAACATTTCTATTTATGTGACCTTGGTGTGCACAAAATGGCTGCCCTGATTCCCATATGGTAATAGTCGCCAAGTTTCAAAGTGACTTGCATTTAAAGCATTTGGAGATGCTGAGAGACATGATAAAACACAATGGTCCACGCTTTCCAAAGGCCGGATAATCATTTCAGCAGCATAGGGTGGAGCTGCAGGATTTCTGATGTAGCAGCCTCTGAGGGAGGTGCCTGGAAAATTGATTCCGATGGGCATGTTCCATATCTAGAACCGTGTAAAAGTAACAGTTAAAATCAGCAAATTCAGAATGTTAAACAAAAACGTAGTCTAACTCTTCAGCCTGTATAGAGTCAAAAGACACTCTATCCACCCCAAGTACATTACCACTGCATACCCCTGCCCCCACACAAGCATGGACACGCAAACAGACACACACACAGAGACACTCTATCACTCTTTTTCTTTCTGTCTCTCTCCCCACTCTTTCACCCCCCTTCCCCCTTCACCCCCTCTCCCGCCTCCACCCCCTCTCCCCCTACCCCCCCCCCCCCTCACCACCCACCCTCCGCTCCAGCTCTTCGTCTTCCCTGTCT